ATGAGGTTCTCGAGCTGCACTTTCCCCCATCCCACAGGCACCCCAGAGATCAGCCTGCTGTTTATTTCAGAGTGCAGGCACACAGATGTCCCTGACACTTGAGTGATTTCTGCTCTGTGCTGGAGGAGAAGGGATTTGACACCAGCTTCTGAAGTTTGTTTCCTTTTGGATTCATTCCCCATGCAGTGGGATATATGTGCTCAGACTCTTCTGCTGGAGGTGGCTGATGTGGATGTGTTAACTGCTGTTTGCAGTTGTTCCTGGGCACCAAGCTTTTGTGAGAAGCATCTGTCTCGTGTCTCTCTGTTGTGTAAAAAGGATAATGAAGACAGACTGACTTGATACTTTAGAATAAACTACTGCATGATTTTTTGTTCTAATGTCTATAACAGTTAAGCTTGCCCTTACCTCCCTCAAAACCTCCAAGGGAGTTAGAAATGTGTAAATTTGAGTTTCTCCGCAGTAATAATTGCTGGGGCTTCGACAGGGAATATATTTGCTGCTGAGTAGCATATACACTTCTGGTTGGGCTGGGCTGGCTTACAGGGAAGACATTGGCTAAAATAATTCCAGCCAGCAGTGTCTTGACCTGCAAACTAAAATGATCCTCACAGTCTGGTGAGTCAAGCAGACAGTTTGTGCTTGAATGTCGGTCCTTCTGTGCCTGAGCTTGGCTTGTCTTGTGGTGGCATGGTTTTTGTCAATGTTTCTGTCTTAAGAGGGAAACCAGGATGACTTTACTCAAGACCACAGAGTGTAAATAACACTTAGGACACCAGTGCTAATATTTTGAGGGGAGGAGTAAGCCTCCCATCTCTTTGATTTTTGTACAGTTAGCACATTGTAGTGACTCATGTTCCTCAGATATCTCCTTTTCCTTCCACTTGCTGCCAGAACATTGACATGGTTCCTGTGTTATTGTCGTTTGGTAGTCCAGTTGCACGAGTGCACATCTCAGCGCTGCAGCTACTGTGGTTTGCTTCAATCCAGGTGTAAAGGCTTAGTCTTTAACAATGTGTTTGAGAGGAGTTGGGGAGAAAATGGTATAGAAGAAAAGGCAGGAAGAGGAGAAGGGATTTGTAGGCTCTTCTCCATGATCCTTGGCCCCCTTTGGTAGGAAAGCTTCTAAATTATACGGATTTTTGTAAATTCCAGGAGGAGCAGTTAAAGCAGGGCTGCTTTTGCTTTTGTTGAGCCTCCAGGAGGGCTTGCCTAGAGCAGAAAATGTGAAACAGATTCAGATATACTCTAAAGACCTGTGCCTGTGAGCTGCTTGTTGTGGAAAGGCTCCTTCAAATATCAACAAAGAAGTAGAGGAGCTGTCCTAGGAGCAGTGTTTTTGTGTGCTAAACCAAAAGTGAAAAGTTTCAGACAACCTAATGGCCTTTAGCATGCCTAGCACACAGATTTTGGCACTTTTGATTACATAGTTTCACTCATTCTGAGTGAAAGTGGGAAGTAATTTTTATGAAAAATTGTTGGAGGATCATCTGGATAATAATGATAAATGTTTTACAGGGTATTTGAAGTACTTTGGTCCATGGAACTGCTATAAAGCTGTATTTTCTGTTCTTAATTTTTTTGTGGGATAAATAATAAAATGTTTGAGAAGGAAAGCTATGAAGGGTCAGCCTGTTGACAGCTCAGGAGGGTCAGTGCCCATCCAGCCAGTGCAGGCGATTTGTGCCCCACTCATGAACAAAGCTGATGCAGTTCCCAAGGTAGACAGCAACCTGTGTGATCTCCTGTGTGGGAGCGGCCGTGGCTGAGCTCCGAACCCGTTCCTGGGCTCATGTCTCACCTGCCTGACACCAGGAAAGGCTTCTGAAGAGCTTTTTGATTCTTTTCATTGTCAGCTGCTCCAGATAGCTTGCTGGAGCCCATTGAGTTTAGTTTCTCTGACTCCCTTCTCTCTACCTGTAACTCTTGCGAAGGAATTGTATTTGTAATCACATTAGGTGGTGGAAGCTTAGCTTACCAGCAGTGCTTTGTTTTAATTACTTTTTACCAAAGCTTGTTCACTTCCACATTTGTAATAAACCAACCCAAGCCATGTATTTCTTCAGAGACCATTTGCCCCTGTGTTATCCTTTCCATAGCTGAACAATACAGTGATTTATCTAATGCAGTTATATAACTCCGATCTGTTAAATGCTGTACCCATTGGATGGTGATCTTCTGTGCTCTGACAGTGCTATTGAGTTGTGCCACATTGAAAAAATGGGATTTTTTTATGGACTTGCTTCTCCGAATCCCATTTTTGCTTTAGTTTCTCTGGGGCAACTGCAGTAGAAATACAATTGTTTAATTTTAAAGTATCTCCAGAATTATACTTCACTGTTTTTATGCAGGGAAATGTGCTTTGTGGGCTGAGACTGGAGCAAGGTTAGTATTATTGTGCTTAATATCAGCCACTGAGAAGAAGGACTTTGTTTCATGAGGCACAATAAACACAGGTAACTTGAAGAGGAAATGTTGAAAAGGAGGAGGATGAAATAAAAGAGCAAAAGGTTTTACTATAAAGCATTTTTATTTCTTGGGAGTTTTAGTAGGTAAACTGTGTAAACGGCAGCTTGGTTATGACTTGGGTTTGGAAACTAGTTCCCTTTTCTTATGCTTTGTGGGTTCTTTTGCCTTTTAAAATGCCCACGGTCCTCCAACCTATCTCCCATCCTGGCAGTGATGTTTATACTACACATTCTTCTGCTGTTTTGTGCAGCCAGTGCTATCACAGCTACGCTGAATGAGGCTCCAGCCTAACTACAATATTAACCCTGCAAATCTGTTCATTTTCTCTCGAGCAGCCCCAGGCAGGGTATACAGGAGAATGTGTCCAATTGAAAAACTGTGACAGACTCGGTGGTGTTGCTGCACTGTGCGAAATTGCAAGAGAGCTATGTTTTTTCTGCCAGAGAGGATCCTGTGAAGGGACATGCTGGTGTCCGTCTCGTACAAGTTACAGAATTTGGTTTTTGTTTTAGTCTCAACTTTCATTGATAATGTTATCTTTATTTTTGCCAAACTGTCTGCTTTTAAGCACTGAAATGTGTTCCTCAGACCTGCTGCTTTCCTCCTGCTTGCTAATCGTCCAACGCATGCTCCCCCCACCCGTAGTTTGTATCAGTCCTTGACTTCTTACTTTCACGTTTGTAGTTGTTGTTTTTAATTTTTTCTTCATTATTTTACTAAATACCGCTCTGCAGATCAGTAGCATCTTGGGTGGTGGTTGTACCACATAGCATTTGTAGCAGACATTAGTTTTGCATAGCGTGTGTACCTTATTTTGTCTGGACTTGTCTTCTTTGCGCTGCAGGCACCTCCTCCAGCAATTGTAGTGATTAAGCCTGGTATTTCTGCAGATTTATATTAACTTCTGCTTATAAAGAAAGAGAAGAAACCCAACCCTTCCCTCCCCCATCCCCAACATCTAAACTAGATGTTTTTCTTCATTCCCTTAGTTTTTATCAGTATTAGACCGAAGCTTGCTTTTGCATATGAAGAAAATTAGTTAAATACCTTGTGGTTTATAGATGCCTTTTGTTACACACTACTGGGATTTATTGTGCAACGTCGGCCTGTAAATCATTTCAGCCAGACGATTACCTGGCTCACGTTGCCTTTGTGATGTGAGCCCTTGAACAGCCATGGAAAATGGAGAAACGCTGGGTTTTGGGGGCGGCGGGCTGGGCTGGTGCGAGCGCCCGTGACTCTCTGATGGCCGCGGTGCGCTTTGCTGAGGTTTGCTGCCTGGCTCCGAGGAGATGTTTACAGGGAATCCATTCCTCTGTGCAGCTGAAAGACGGTGTTGAAAGAACAAAGGGAGTTTTGTGATGAAGTGTATCTGACTTCTCGCTGCTTTGCTTACCTTTTAAATGTAAAACTCGGTCATTTGCAAGGGCTTTTAGTTCTCAGGGCATCCCTATAAGATTCCACCCCGCGCGGAGCTGTCCTTCAGTCGAAAGCGGCGTTGTCTCAAAACCGCTCTCGAGAACGCATTTCTATTTTAATCCCCAACTTTGCCTGCCGCCTGCCTTCCTGGCTCCAGCTCACCGCCCTGCCCTGCCCTGCCCTGCCCTGCCCTGCCCCGCCCGCAGCGCGCAGGCGGCCGCCGCTCGCTCCGCTCCGCTCCGCGCTGCTGCTGCTGCAGCTGCTGCAGCGCTCCCAAAGTTGGCTCATCCGCGGGGCATCGGCTCCGCTCCGCGCTGCTCAGCGCTCCCAAAGTTGGTTTGGTTTCATCGGCGGAGCATCGGCTCCGCTCCGCGCTGCTCAGCGCTCCCAAAGTTGGTTTGGTTTCATCAGCGGAGCATCGGCTCCGCGCCGCGCTCAGCCCGGGGAGCCGCTCAGACCTGCAGCCTATGCGCGGCACGCCGGGGCAGCTGTCGCCATACGTTAAACTTTTAAATGGAAAATGTCTTTCTCAAAGGCTGTCGATGTCCAGTGGTCTGCAGTCCATGAGCAGTTGACTAGTCCAGGTGTTTCTGCTTCTGTTCCTGTGCTATGTGAATTGGGAATTCAAGAGAAGAGTGTGCAGGATGGAGGAGTTGAGGGTTTGTATTCCTGTTCTGGTGGTACGGCAGTGACGGAGGGCTTGGGAAGGAGCAGAAAGTCTACCTGGGGTTGTCTCAGTTGAGAAAAATAATTGCTCTCAGTCTTTGTGTCTGTACCTCTTTCTGTCAGTGCTTTCATCAGCTCTTAAAAATGAGAATGACCCTTTTTGTTGGTATGGATTGACTGTCGCGAATAGTATTCAGGAAAAACTTGGTTTTGAACGTGATTTCTTCTTTGTGGGTTCTATCAGTGCATTTTGCCCCACTCATTTAAAATGTAGCCATTTCAAACTCTCGGAGCTGGATTAATTTTAAAAACTGCCAAATTTTTGTCTGTGCTTTACTAAGATAAAAGTCATAATCTGAGGCTATGAGACAGTCCTACTGATTTAAGATTGGGGATTTCTGTAAGGTTTGTAAGGAGATCATTAACCCGGGTCTATTTTTTCACAGGACAGTCGGCCCAATATGTCAAGACCTCTGATCACTAGATCCCCTGCATCTCCATTGAACAATCAAGGCATCCCCACTCCAGCACAGCTCACAAAATCCAACGCACCAGTTCACATTGATGTGGGTGGGCACATGTATACCAGCAGCCTGGCCACGCTTACAAAATACCCCGATTCCAGGTAACTTTCAAAAGCTTCTTCTGCATGACTTTGGCAAACTCCTTTACTTCCTTTTTGTGCTTGGACGTCCTGGGGCTGTCTCAGAATGATGAATTTAGCTCCTTTTGTTTCAAAATTAAATTAGCTTTCTTTGTTAGTAGGCAGTTAGAGACTGACTTTTGTTTCCCTGCTCCACTGTGTTCCTGACAAATGGCACTTCTGCAAATCCTGATGCGTGTGTACTGAAACAAAGCTGGGGGAAAAGAGCACTTACTTTCTACTACCTAGGATTCTGGGTTTGTGCCAGGGCACCCATGCTGTGGTTTGTTACATTCAAAAACTGTAGTGATACTGCATTTAATCCCAAAGGTGGGGGTGTTGGAGTATTTGTTTTGTTTCTTTTGGAACAGTAACCACTCTCCTGTGCTGTCAACGCTCCATCTCAGATGTGTCACTTGAGGCAAAGGCAAGGTTGAATGAAATAAACTCCAGGACAGTATTAACTGAATACTTTTAGGACTTTTCAAATAATAGGCTCTTAACTCTCATGTACCTTTTGAATGAAGTATTTGTGACTCTGGTACCTCACTGATACTAAGCAGAGAACTGCTGCATGTGTGTACAAATGGTGCCTGTAGAGCAGCTAAAACAAGAGCGCATCTCTAAGAAATCTAGAGTGCATTTAGCAGTGTGTGTGGGCATTGCCTGGTGGTGCTGGCAGACAAGCAGTGCAGCTGGAACTCTCAGGGTTGGTCATGAGACAGCAGGAAGTCATTGTGTCCACAGTATAAATCTCTACCTTGCCCTTTGCTGCCCAGTCCTGCTCCAGAGGGCAGGCAGTGCTCCCATTGTGTTCTCTCCAGTCTGAGGGGGAAGATTCTCGGTTTCTTGATCCCACAGCTCTGACCTGCCTTTTCAAAGGGCACAAAGCCCACTTCATGGGATGTGGCTTGTTCAAAGCCTGGGTTTCATTGATGCTGCTGCCCCTGCATCACCAGCTCACAGTGTTAGGTGGGCTCAGGCAGTGCCCCCTGACAGGCTGGAGGAAGAGAGAGAGCCCTGCACACAGCGAGGCACATGGCCCTGCTTGAGACAGCCTCCTCAAGGAAACCCGGCAGAGGGGAGCAAAAGGAGCCATGCCAGAGCCTGGGTCTGCCAGGAGAGATTGAAGTAATGTCTGGGAAGACTTGAACTGTTCTTAGAAAACCAAATCTGTTCTTTTGGAGGTTTTTTTTTAGAAACTTCTTGTGTTCAGCTCCTAGTAGTTGTGATGACTTTGTGAGTTTTTTGGTAGTTGGAGCAGTGATGGTGTCTGACACTGTTGTGTATGCAGAATGAGAGGCTGCTGCTTCTGTTTTCATGTCAAATTCACAGAGAGAGTATATTACTTCAAGTGAAGAAACACTAAAATGTCATTCAAAAATGTGTCTGGTGGCAGTGGAATTTAAGCTTAATGTATTCTGTGCTCAATTGAGCCATTGTAGCACTTGAAAGTGAAAGCTATGCCTGTAGTATCAAAGCCAGTTTAATAAATTAAACATTTTAAAAGCTCTTCAAACATAATTTAAAGAAAACCCAAACTCTGAGTTATAGTCATACTGTTTCAAGTCGTTCTGACATGTGTTTGTGTTTCAGTTCTGACAGCGTCTTTTGAACCTCTTGATGAGTGAATATTTCCAGCGTAGCTGTTAGAACCTGGAATTCCCAGCCACTTCCAGAGCTTGAGAGATTTTTTTGTACATTAGCAGCTTCAAAAGAGCAATTACTATACTCGTTTGAATGTCAAGACAATGGCATGAAGCAATATGCCAGTAATCATGATATAGTTGTTTGGGTTTTGTCTGAGATTTTGCCAGGAGGTTTTTTTCCAGTGGAGGGTTGGGATGTATATATGTGCGTATATATATCTGTACATATTTATATAGAGTGAGTGCTAGGTAAAAATTATCCAGTAATATTTAGACATTAATACAAATTGTTTCTTGAAGCCTGACCTGGTCAGTTTCATATCTAGCTAGACTCTAACTTCATTACTCACAAGGTTTTTGCCAACATTGCTTGTATGTTTCTTTTTCTGCCAATGTCACGTGTGTGAATGATATCAAAACCAAGGAAGGTCTCATAGATATTTTTGGGCCAGTTGAAACCTCCTGAGACTTACTGTTATATGAAGTATTGTCTATGAAAAATAAGGTCTTGATTATCTTGCCTGAAAGAGCACTGCTCCAGGGATGAGTCAAGGCATCAGTTACAGGCTCCAGCCTGTAACAGGTTGAGACACGAAAGTCATTAGGTTTCTGACTCGTATTACATGCAGTCTAAGGGCCAGAAGCCTAAAATGAACCTTTCATCTGTGGGCCAGGTACCAGAGTCATCTTTCTTTGTGAGATTGAAAGGGTGATATTCAAACCAGCAGCTCTGGAGTCATGCTGACTTGCTGGTGTGAGGGAGATCTATTCTGATGGAGCAGACTCTGCTTTGGAGCAAGTGCACCCTTCCTTCTCCTTTTGGAGTCAACAGCCTTCATCTTGTACCTCGCTGTTTTCTTCTTCCTGGACAGTAGAGCACAAATTGGAAAGAGCACTTTAAAAAAGAATTCCTTAAATGATATCAGGTAAAGACTTGTAGCTTGAAGGGATCATTTTCCATAATTCTTCTGTTAGGTTCCCCAACCTGGTTTGTGCCTTGACATGTAAAATGCCTACTGACAGATACCTATTCATCCCTCCAAAGAAACCTTGGTATGACTGTAAAAGTGTCTTGCTACTGTTGCTGGATCCCTGCCCTTTGCTTCGGAAAGACAATTGTGGGTTTCTCTCAAATGCTCTTGTGCTTGAAGAAGCCAAAGAATCAGACCTGATCTGTGTTTTGGGCAAAAGCTGACTCAGTGAAGCACTCTGACAGACAAGCAGCTTATCTAATGGACGATTTGAATTGAGTAATCCTAGAATTATAAATTCTGAAGCTAAAATAATGCTTAAAAAAACCCTCAAAATTAATTTTAAAATCTAGTAGCATATAATTTCAAAGGGCCCAGTTATAATCTAGACAATGGAGAGCCTATAGTTTTCACAAGGAAAATCCCTTATGAATACTTAAGCTCATCAACAGGCTTCAGATTCCCCCAAGAAACCAGTGGGACCATGCCTCAAACATGGTTTCTTGAAGCTCAATAATACAATTTGCCAGACTTAGGCTTTGGGAAGAAGCCTAAGTTTGAATCAGCCTGTCTACCAAGAAGACCTAATGTGAGGTCTCTCTGCTGAAATAAATAGCAATTTTTTTTAAAGTCTGGGGAGGGAGCAGGTATGCAGCCATCTATGTAGCTCTCTCCACTGAGACTGCAGACCTTGGTGCATTCAGCCTTGCACAGATTGTACAACCTTTGGTTTACTTGAAGTTACCAGATCTTCAGGTTAGTATCTGGCAACAGTCAGCTATCTGTTAAAAACTTGGGTGTCCAAAAAATATTTTTAATTGCTTGCTTTTCGAAAATAAAGATTTTTTTAAATAGTTTTTTTTTCCACTGCCCAGGGGGAAAAAAAAACTTATTCCAGGAAAGAAGGATCCAAGATGAGGGTCTGCCAAAGGAGCCTTTCTCCCCCAGGAGCTCAGGCACATGCATGCAGTGCCTTTGTTCCCAGTGGTCACCAAAAAGCTTGAGGAGAACAGGTTGAGGTGTTAGGATTTATGATTGTGAGGAGAGGAAGCTGTGGCTGGTTAGCTCTGATACTTTAACCCCAGCAGCCTACTCTCCTTCCAGTGCACGATCATCTTGCAGCAGGATTGAACCCTTTGCTTGGAGTCGGCGTTCCTACATCTCTCAGCCTTAATGCTGTCTGCACGGCATCTACCAAAAGTTATTGTGCACCAGGCTGGGACAACCTCAGCTGAATAACCGAGCTGAATGGGAAGATGTTGAACTTCGATCATACAAGCATCAGCTGTCTGATATCTCTGATATCAGCAATATCAGCAGTGTTGTATATCTTGTATGTTCAAAGCATCTGAACTTCTAATTAGGTCTTTCCAAGTCATCTGGTACAAATATTTGCATAACACCATGGCATTGGATTGCCACATCCTATATTCCCATCACAGAATGGGAAAAAAATCACTTAAAACCTTGTATATAACTCTGTAGAACCTTCTGGAGTATCTGTTTGTGTTGCTACATCTGCCATCTTGAGTTACTCCCTGCATATGAAGATGGATTCTCCTTATACAGTATTTCACAATTCTTCCATATTTCTGCCCAGGGCAATTTCAGGTTTTCATATGAACCAATCCATTCGTGTCCCAGTTTTCTTACCCAATCTTCACTCTCAGCCCTCAGGGAAATTAAATTTCACACACTTGGATCCAGTTAGGACACTGGCTTTTTTTTTTTTTTTTTAATTGGTAAGGGTTTCTTTTGCATCAAGAGCACAGAATTACTTAGGAGATTGTCCTTGGCCTTTTTTGACAGTTTGCAAGAAAGACTTATCCTCCACAAGTTGTGTAGGTAGACTTCCAAGGACGTGCTGTGAATCAGGCAGCACTGCTTGCCTGTGTCACAGCTCTGGCAGTTTCTGCTATCAGTCCCCAGGTCCAAAACAAACTGACAAAATGGCCTTAGCTCAAACTCCTGCAAATTGCAGCACCATGCTGGAGACTCCTGTCTTGGTAGGACACCTGCTGAGGTGAGGGTGGTCTGCACTTTGCATAGGCCTCCCTTTGTAACACCTCCATGAAAGCAGCCCTGTCACAGCTTTCCTGCTCACCTTGGAAAGTGCCTCCCAAACTGCTCTAAGTTGTGCTAAACTTGAAGAAATATAAAATTTTCTAACTAATGAGCATTTGGTTATTTGGGTTTTTAAAGGAAAAATTGAGAGAGTGGGTGTTACTGCATCTTTATTTCCACTGTTCTTATTTGGATTTATCTTCCTGAGAGGTACAGATCTATCTGTATCTTTCTAGAATAGCAACATCAAGGGCAAGCTTCTGTGAAAGAGCAAGCCTCTGTGAAAGTTTTCAGTATT